CCATAAAATGGTGGAGCCACGTGTTTAAGGCTGCCGAAAATCTAGTTCCCCGGTCAAACCTCAAACCTATTACGCGAGATATTAACTAAAGTGGACTGTATATGCGATTGCTTCTATGCTTATGTGAAGCGACTACTATAGCATGCGGTACAATGCACTCGCTCTTCCCTAAACTAAACTATTACTTGTCGAATCGATGAAAGGAATCCTGCTTGACTAGGAAAAAAACACAAATTGGAGCGGGTTAAATTATTAGCAAGCAGGTATAATTAAGGAGTATTGACTCACCGGGGTTTCTTCTTCCTGTCGATCACTATAGCGGCGACTTCCGGAACACTCCGGAGAGAGGCGGTGCGCGACGATATCTCACACGAGGTGAGGCGGGTTCCTGGAGCTCGACTGCTTCCAGGCCAAAGCGGTTTCCACTAGTGAGGTGTTTCCAAACGAGCGCGCGGGAAGAGGAGGTTGTAGTTCAACGACGACTGCGGCGGGAGAAGAGAGCGCGCGTCGGTCGCGCGTGTCTTATATATCCTCGGGTCCGATGATTACGCGATGTTCTAGAATCGTCTTCTTTCCCCTCCCACCCCACCACCCCGATGTGTCGATAGGAGGGTACGAATGATATTGTTTCGGAAGGGAATAATGATTCGACAAATTCCTACCGTCAAAAATAAAAAACGCGAATGGTTTTCCGCGCAACCAGTCGCTTGAAAATAAAAGAATCATTATTTATATTTCAAATATTTAAAATAAGATTAACGATTAACGTACGCGGGAAGAATATACTATAATTATTATTTTAGACATTTAAAATGGCTAAAAATGACAACATTTAAGATTTCAATAAACAATAAACAATTTTATAATAGGATATAAATCTAAATGTAATGTACATTTAATTTAATAATGTACATAGAAAATCATTTGCCATCCGAAATGACACTAGATTTTTAATATTAAATTTTGACTTAAAAATATTGTTGCGCGAATAAGACGATGGCACTAGCGCCATCTGGTATCGGGCAACAGAGTGAGGAAGCTTTCCAGAAAATACATGACTAGTTTTTCAACCAACAGCGCCATCTAGTATCGAACAGAAGAATTAAGCTTTCTGGAAGCCGCACACTCGAACTTTCTGCGCTTGGTCGGTTGGCGCGCGTATTTACTTGAATATTCTGGAATATTCTGGATGTATTCGTGGTAGAGCCCTATATAAAGGCGCTGCAATACGCGATCGAGGAAGTATTGAATTCGGCGAGACAAGCGAAGCTTCGGAGCGGAATAAAGTGAATCAGTGTGATTAATTGTTAGTGTTTTAAGTTTTAATTTGTGTAAAGAAAATTAAAGTGTTAATTTAGGTAATTTTATCGGCAATTTTTATTGTCACGAACCTCAAGCTCGTAACAATTGGTGTCAGAAGTGGGATTAAATCATGCAGATTTTACCTAAGGAGGAATCAGAGGGTGTACGTACTCGAAGTCAACGCCAGCAGGAGACGGACCAGAGGAGGTTTGGTGGTGCAACGCCGAAGACGTCGGAGGGCCAACTGCCAGCCACGAAGGCTGCCGGCCCATCAGTAGCTCCTACATCTGCAGCACCTGACTTAGGTGCTCTGATGGCGATGCTACAGGAGCAGCTGCAGCGCGGACGAGAGGAAGAGGCCCGTCTGTTGATACAGCAGCAGGAGGAACAGGCTCGCCGACAGGAGGAACAGGTCCGTCAGTTGAAAGAGCAGCTACAGAGCGGGCAGGAGGAACAGGTCCGTCAGTTGAAAGAGCAGCTGCAGATCGGACAAGAGGAACAGGCCCGCCGACAAGAGGAACAGATGCTCCTCATGAAGGACCTTCACGCTACCTTTGCGAAAGAGATAAGGGAGGTGAAGGATAGGGTTGCTCAACATGACAACCGCCTGTCGGAAGCTGAAACCCGAATCGAAGAACATGAAACCCGAATCAACCATATGAACAATCGGGTTGACAACGTGATGGCTGACGTGAAGAAAACGCTGAACAACCTCAAACTTGGGGATGGAACTACAGCTCCCGTAGTAGCTACAGCACCGTCGCTACGTGGATTCAAAGTGCCGCCGTTCGATGGGACTTCTTCCTGGTCGGCCTACAAAATCCAGTTCGTAGCCGTCATGGAGGCAAACGGCTGGAATAAAAGCCAGGCCATGACTGCACTCACCTTAGGCCTGCGCGACCAAGCCTTAACCGTGTTGGAAGCTCTCGGTAAGAAAGTGACCTACGAGCAGCTCCTTGAGGCATTTGAGGCGAGATATGGTGACGCTCACCTGGAACACGTCTTTCGCGCGCAGCTTAAAGATCGCGTGCAACACAGCAACGAAAACCTGCAGCAGTGGGCTCTAGAGGTGGAGAAGCTGGTGCGAAAAGCATACCGGTCTGTACCTGCGCTCATTGAAGGGAACCTGGTGCAGACATTCATCGACAGTATCCGCGACCTGGAAGTCAGAGCTGCTGTGAGGCTCGGGCACCACGAGACGCTTAAGGACGCCTTGGCCCATGCACTGGAGGTGGAGGCCGTGCGGCAGGATCATCGTTCCTATCGCGTCAGGGAGGTTGCAGCAGCTACAGTTCGCGACTGCAACAAAGGATACAGCCCTAGGTGCTATGGCTGTGGGGAAAGGGGCCATATTCGCTCCAGCTGCCCTAAGCGAACTGTAGAAAGGAGTGTTGATCGATCTCGAGAGGGTAGTGCAGCTAACGGCACCACCTGGCGGTGGCAGGATCGTCGTTCCCCCTCGCGCTAGGGAGGTTGCAGCAGTTATGGTTCGCGACCACAATAAAGGATACATCCCTAGGTGCTATGGCTGTGGGGATAGGGGCCATCTTCGATCCAGCTGCCCTAAGCGAACCCTAGAAAGGGAAGGTGAACGATCTCAGAAGGGAAGTGCGGCTAACATCACCGCCCAGCAGCAGCCGGGATACGACTTTACTATCAGACATCGCAGCGGGAAATCTCATGGCAACGCAGATGCATTATCAAGAAGACCTTGTCCTGAAGATGGGAAACATTGTACTAGGCAAGAGAGTAAGGAAGTGGTATCCGTGAGGATACTCAGGACAGACCACCTCAGCAACGAGTGGAAGGACAGCCTACGACATGCACAGCAGGAAGATCTGGACATCAAGCTGATTCTGGAATGGATGAAGGCCCGTGCTACCAAGCCTAAGTGGAGCGACGTCTCAGCGATGGGTTCAACCACGAAAAGCTATTGGGCCCAATGGGACAGCTTGCTGATTCAGGATGGAGTCCTGTGCCGTAAATGGGACAATGGTCGAGGAGACAGCTGTCGTTTGCAAATGGTTGTCCCTAAAGCTAAAGTGCCGAATGTTCTACAGCTGTGCCATAATGGTCGTGCAAGAGTCCATCTGGGAGTTAAACGAACTCCACTGAAGGTCCGAGAACAGTTTTCCTGGGTCCATTATCGTGACGATGTCGAGGATTGGTGTCGTACATGTACAAGTTTTGCGGCTATGAGGGGACCTCAGACACGTAGTAGAGGAGCATCGAAATTGTACAATGTTGGTGCACCATGGGATAGGACAGCCCTTGACATTGCGGAGCCGTTACAGAAAGGCGCAAGAGGGACTCCTAAGATCGTCCATGTGGATCGCTTGGCGCGTTATTATGGGGCCGATAATGCTCGGGACGAGCATGTCTTAGGAGGGGCAGTGTTGCGCGAATAAGACGATGGCACTAGCGCCATCTGGTATCGGGCAACAGAGTGAGGAGAGCTTTCCAGAAAATACATGACTAGTTTTTCAACCAACAGCGCCATCTAGTATCGAACAGAAGAATTAAGCTTTCTGGAAGCCGCACACTCGAACTTTCTGCGCTTGGTCGGTTGGCGCGCGTATTTACTTGAATATTCTGGATGTATTCGTGGAAGAGCCCTATATAAGGGCGCTGCAATACGCGATCGAGGTAGTATTGAATTTGGCGAGACAAGCGAAGCTTCGGAGCGGAATAAAGTGAATCAGTGTGATTAATTGTTAGTGTTTTAAGTTTTAATTTGTGTAAAGAAAATTAAAGTGTTAATTTAGGTAATTTTATCGGCAATTTTTATTGTCACGAACCTCAAGCTCGTAACAATATTAAGTAAGAATGGGTTTTACCACCTTCCCTCTAAATAGGGGCATGTAGAGATTTTAACGCCCCCTCTCGGGACCCTTACGTAATTATTAGTTAATGAATGGGCCCTAAGGTTGTGTCTTAAAAATCATGAACCGGCTGATAGGCTTGTCATTCGCCTGTGAAGTGTTATGACTTAACTGAAGACGAGCGCTGCTTTTGCAGCAATATGCTGAGTTAGAGACCTGTTCGATGTTTTTTTGTTTTATTAAAATGATTTATTTTTGGGTCCGTGTAGTGGCAGTGAAGAATATCCACTACCCCATATCATCCCGTTGGTGTCTTAATAGGCGACAGACAAATCAGTAGATTTGCAGCAGCGTCTTCCTAATAACAATTAAAAATAAAAAACTGCGGATAACAACCCGCTTGCCAACTTGCCAAGCGTGGTAACTATGGCAAATATCCACCCTATGAACAACAACAATCTACGGGGGAGGCTTACGTTCAGTAATGGACTTTAATAGGCTGTAACGGATTATTAATTACCGATGTGCAAGTAGGTACTGCTACTTAATCGTTAATGAGTAAACAGTTAGATTGGTGCATGCATTATTTTGCCCCTTGCGTTTGTATATTTTTTGAAATTTGTGTATCTAATCAAAGAAATAGTTATTTCTTTCGTATGTGTAAGTGTATACGCATGTGTGTGCGTGTGTGTGTGTGTGTGTGGTGAGTGTGTATACATATATGTATATAGTGCGCGTGTATACGCCTGTGTGTGTGCGTGTATACGCCTGTGTGTATGCGTGTATACGCCTGTGTGTGTGCGTGTGCGTGAGTGCGTGCGTGCGTGTGTGTGTGTGCGCGCGTGTGTTTGTGTGTGTGTGTAGAAACTGAATTACCTCCGCGACTTGGTCTGTCTAGTAGTTGGCGGTGGAACCCTCGGCGCCCGCTCTGCACTGTCCGCGGATAGCGAGGCCGTCTCGCCCGAACAGTCGGAGTCTGATGGCGCTCGACGCAACGCGGCCGCTCTACCACCAGCTCGACGACGTGACCCTGCAACAGAAATTTTTGAAGTGAAAACTTCTACAGTACGTGGTAGAGGCATTCTACAGCTCCCGACCGGGGTGGGACCACGCTTTCACAGAATACTAGCGTAAAATAGTAGCATGGTGCGGCCGTGTTTCGTATGGTCAAGCATTCCATTTTAGTCCTCAGGGGTAACAACACATCTGTATTTCGACTTTTAATACAAGATAGATGAAGATATATTTATGGACAACAGCATCCACTTAACAGTCCCGAAAGTACCAAAAACAAAAGGTGAAAGTGGCCTCGAGTCATAAGTCGATAAGGCTGCGGGGGGTCGTCATTACTGCCCCCGATCACAAATACAATATTGAAATGCTTGAATGCTACCAATTGCGTGAGATATATTTTTATTCTTCAGTTCGTCACTGCATAAACATACCACGTTTAGACCTTTTCGCCACGATATGACTTAGGAAACATTAAAGAGACAAAAATGTGCTCTCAAACGCAAGAGCTGTACACGTATACGAAGCATATGCAACACAAAACAAAATGGGAGGTAGGTAAACGTATTGGCTGCGACACGGGGACAATGACACTGCAACCAGACTCAAAAGCGAATAAGTTTTCGCTCATACCATGACTGCGACTGGTATTCGTAACCATGATCCGTGACATAGCAGCCTCTTGAACACTAGGCCACTAAATCTCCTTAAACTTGGATCAGATGTTAACAGAAATAAACGTATTTTTATTCAATAAAGATAACAAGTTACTGAGATTTTTAAGTTAAATTTACCACTGACTGGTTCGGAAAATACTGACAATTAATTAAACAAGATAATAGAAATAGCTTGGTAGCAATCACCTCATTTCTAAGGTTTATTATCTATGTATTCCTAAATATTAAATTAAACCTTTTTACACAAGATTAGGAAGGTAGTTAAATAGAATTAATTTACAATCATAAAATACACGAATCACAGGTAATCAACTACAAATTGTACCGAGACTAATTTAATAGCTGATAATAATAATTAATTCGTTTCCACGAATTGATTATCCGATTAGTCTAGGATGAGCTAGTAGCGTAATACAACAAGTGATCCGTGCCACGCCAGCGCCATGACTGCATTAACGGCGGCCGCTCCGTCCATTTTATACAATCACGACAAGTAGCTAACCGAGCGCCACTGCAGGTGCAATGCGCAGGTGTGCGGTGCACGTGTTGTTTACAATAATTCCCATTATCCACAGAGGCGCTGCGACATATATCATACACATACACACACACACACACACACATATATATATATATATATGTCGCATATATATATATATATATATATATATATATATATATATATATATATATATATTGAACGAATTAACTACTGGACCCGACATATAAGCGGTCTTACCTATACCGGTCTTGTCAGTAACCAGGAAATTCTAGCCTTGGTCGTTTGTTTGTGTGTCAGTCTCAAGCACTTACTTGTCAACAAAACATCTCCCAAAAATGACTAAATGTTCAGTTAAATGGTGTAAAAACTATAGCGGCGGAAGTAGCACTATTTCTTTTCACTTGTAAGTACATTATTTTATTACATTTATTGTTATTTATCACAAAATTTAATCAAATGTAAAATAAAATTTTGTATTATCCAACTATGTTAAATATAGTCGATATTTCTATGTATTATTGACATCTGACAACCATCACAAAATGGTTGGATTATACTATTCAGAACAAATGACTAAAACTGTGGAGTGAGTCAAATTGACATCGACTATTGCTTGACCATGTGGTGTGGTACTTTGGGGTAACAGCACAGACGCTAACAAAGTATTTCTAATTCAGAAAAAATGTATTCGCATACTTGCATATATCGACTCCATAACAAGTTGTAGAAATTACTTTATCAATTATAATATCCTGACATTAACATCCTATATATCCGAAATATGCTCACTAGTTAGAAATAATATCGACTGGTTCCCTCAATATTTTCGGCCTAAAAATTTAAGACCAAAAATAAAATTATCCACAGTTACATCAAAATTACAAATCGTAACAACCGGTCCCTATGCCATGTCAATGAAAATATTTAACAAAATTCCAGAACAAATCAGAAGCATTAAAAGCATTAAAAAATTTAAAAAGTAAGTTAATACATATTTAACGAAAAAATGTTATTACTCCTTTTTTAGTGATTGAGTGGGAAATAGGAAATTGAAACAAATAAATAATATAATATGATCCAATTTATATTTGTTAATTGTAAATATTCATTAAATGATTATGCTAATTTTATAATACTATAATGTGAATGTAATAACAATTTTAATAATTGCCTATATTTGCAGTGCCCTTGCAGGGTTCTTGCCAGTTCCGTTTGCGCGCCGCCCCCGAGCGGTCGTGCATACAGTTCTTTCGCGCCTCCGACCCTTCGGTAGCGCAACCGCTTGCCCGCGCGTCCCGCTCTCCCCGGCTAACACCGGCGGAGCAGACGCCGTTGGTGAGTCACTTTGTTTTTCGCATCGTTCTTGCCCCCCTTGCTCCGGCGGGGGAGGCTTGAGCGCGCTTCGCTTGTTTTTATTTATTTTTAATTTTTCTGTTATTGTTATTGTTTTTGTTATACTGTTACTTGTTTTATTTGTTGTATATACTGTTCTTAGAAGATCGTCTCTTGCTCTTCTCAGAGCGAGCCCTTGTTCTTTTCAGAACATAGGGACCCCAGCTTCTGGAATAGAACGTTAGTCCTCCCCATCTGCCCCCAAGGCCCTGTTCTTCTCAGAACAGGGACCTCTAGTTTCATAAGAATCAAATCGTCTCCCCCCCCGTCCGCCCAACATGTCTTCCATGGATGCTAGCCAAATTTTGGCTCTTTTCCACCAATTTTTAAAAACCCAAGGCGTAGACCTTGATAGCTTCTCGATTAATCTTCCCCCCGTGCCCCTAAGGCATGCGTCCCCCCCACCCGCCGTCGCGGCTTTCCTCGCGACCCAAGCGGCTGCCCCGCAGACCGACTCGCCCGCGTACCCCGACTCCGATATGGAGCACTCGGACACCACGTCCGTTACCTCCTCCTCCCGGAAGAGGTCCGCCCTCAGCTCCACCGGCTCCTCGGATTCAACTGACTCCGAAGGAACTATAACTGACACAGCCCCATTCACGCTAGTGAAATCAAAGCGCGACCCGAAACGCGCCGCGACTTCCGCACTCCCCCCGCCCCGGCGGCCGACTCCGCCGCCCGCACTCCCTCCGTAGCTCCCATCGTTGCCCCTACCCTCGCAGCCCCAAACGCTGCCGTTTCTCAGTCGTAAGACACTACCGCCAAGCCAGCAACCCGCTGCGCTCCCAAACTGGCTAAAAACCAAGTCCCGCCCCCCTGTCTTTCTCAGAGACAAGGCGAAATTCACTCAGTTGTCCAAAACCCTCTACGACAAGGGTTTCAAATATGACCAAGCCACCAATGTCGGCGAGGCCATCAAAATTGTGCCGGCGTCTATAGAAGACTTCCGGAACATAACCTGCCTATTCACGGCCGAGCGTGTGTCCTATCACACATACGCCCTCGCCGAAGAAAGGAAAGTCAAGGCAGTCCTCCGCGGAGTTCCCTATGAACTCGCAAACGAGGACATTCTGGAAGACCTTAAGTCTCAGGGCTTCCCCATAGAGGCTGTGCACAAAATGCACAGCAGCAGGGGCGAAAGGTTTAACCTTGCCCTCCTTGTTCTCACCAATGTGCCGGAGGCGAAGGCCATCTTCCGCGAGGTACGCACTGTGTGCGGCCTTTCGCGCGTAAAGGTCGAAGCCCCACACCGGCGCGGTTACCCAGCGCAGTGCCACCGCTGCCAACTCTACGGGCACGCGGCAGCCAACTGCTCAGCTCCACCCAGGTGCGTTAAGTGCCTAGAACCCCATCACTCGAAAGAGTGCCCCCGGCCCAAAAACGCCGAATCCCCACCCTCATGTGTCCTTTGCGGACAAACAGGCCATCCGGCCAATTTTAGAGGTTATCCTCACGCTCCTCGCTCACCTCCGAGTCGCAAAGCTCCACCCCAGGTCAATGACCGAACCTTCCCGGCTCTTGTAAGCCGCAAGCCCAGCCAGGGCCAGCCCCTACCTCAGCCCCCTCAGGGCTCATCTCAGCCCACACAGGGCATCTACCGGCCCCCACAGGGCCCCTATCGGCCACCTCAGGGCCCTCCTCGGCCCCTTATGAGCCTTCCGCTCTCTCAGCCTGCGCCGCTTCCAATAAACCCCTGGTTCCAAAAGGAATCAAATATCCCGCGGCCCTCCGCCGACCCACAAAAACAGACGGACTCTGTAGTAGAATCTTTAAACCTAGTGTATAACACTCTCAATAGGATCAATTTAGATGAAATCCTTATCCTTGCGCGTAAACTGCCCACAGCTCAGTCCCCTCAGGACCGTCTCCTTGCTCTTACTGAGCACATCAACCTACTAAGGTCTTTGTAATTAAACTATGCCGGAGCCCTCTGCTCCCGCAATATCTCACGGTCGTATCAAACCAAAGGGTTTGTCGCTTGTTTCATTCAATATCCGCGGTTTGCGAAATAACCTCCCAGAGCTTAGGCTATTTCTTCGAGATCGCGAAGCTGATCTCCTCCTCCTACAGGAGACTCATCTCAGCCCCAAGGTCTCTAAAGGCCTTACTATTAAAAATTACTCACTTCTACGTAACGATAGACCCGACCGCAAAGGCGGCGGTACTGCCATCTATTACAACAAGTCCCTTCATTGCTCCCACATATCTACTCCGTCGCTTACCAGTATGGAAGCCACTATCACTAGATTAGCTATGACTGGACACCAGTCAACCACAATAGCCTCTTGCTATATCCCTAGCGGAACCCTCCCCGTTAAGAGTGACTTCGAAGCCATCCTTGCATTAGGCGACTCAGTCATTATGTTTGGAGACTTCAACTCCAAGCATACTGAATGGACCTGCCGCACTACTACCAGTAGTGGCAGGGTGCTGCTCAATATCACTCAG